CAAGGACATGATGAACCCTATCATTGTCCTCAGGCATAGCAGCCTTCTTAGTAGCATGGAATAAAGCCATGGCACAGTGGAAAACAGTAGCAGGATAAGGAGTGTGATTTTTAAAAAGTAGCAATCAGGACCCTCTTTTAACTGAATTAATGGTTGTCAATTTTGACTTTCTTTCGGATTAATGATATGAGGCTCATAGTTAAACTATTCAGAGTATCTTTTTTTGTTTTTAGCTTGTTCATTTTGCACACTGGATCTTTAAACATTGCAACAGTGCTATTTCCAGTTTTTATTTACTGTAATTTTGTTTCTGTGGTTTCATTCTGGAGTTAGCTTTCTGCAGTTATTGTTGAACTCATGCCCCTGAAAAAGAACAAAACTTTAGATTGCATATATGTTATTTTTGTGTTTACTACAAGATATCCTCTGATATAAGTTGCAACTTCTTTTTCAGGCTACAAATATATTTAATGAAGGCAGAGCTTCTTTGGAGGAATTTGTTTGTACTTTAAAGAGAACAGTTGGTATGCCAGTGTTGGTTGAAGCCATTGGAATTGGTAAAGAAAAGCATGACCTCACTGGCAATATTTTGGATCCAGTTAGATCAAATCAGTCATCCTCCATTCGCCCTGAGATACCAGTTGGCACAGCATGTTCGTCTCTTACTTCTGGAGATATCATCAAGTTTTTAACAGGTGATTTTAGGTTAAGCAAGGCAAAGTCAAATGATCTCTTTTGGGAAGCTGTTTGGCCTCGTCTGCTAGCCAGGGGGTGGCATTCGGAGCAACCGAGAGATATTAGTTTTGTTGCATCCAAACATTCACTAGTGTTTCTTATCCCTGGTATAAAGAAATTCTCAAGAAAAAAGCTTGTGAAAGGAAATCACTACTTTGATTCTGTTAGTGATGTCCTAAATAAAGTAGCATCAGACCCCACACTCCTTGAATTAGAGGCTGAAGGAGCCACAGGAAGCAGCACCACTAAAGATGAGGATGAGTGTGCCATGGATGCTAAATCAGACCAAAATGGTCTGCTTGATCATCAACAACACTGTTTTCTTCGCCCTAGGGTTCCAATTTGTAATTCTGAATTTATGAAGTTCACTATTGTGGATACCAGTTTGGTCCATGGTGAAGAACCTTTCAAGGTGAGAGAACTTAGGACTCTACCCATTGATGCCATTAGTAATTATGGCCCTTCGATTCATACAGGAGAAATAACAAGTGATGGTTCAGAAGATTCAGAAGATAGCTCATCAGATGATCAAGGAGATTCTGATCCAGATTCATCTAACAACAAGAAGCTTAAGGTAAGCAGAAAGTGCATCATCGGCAAGGCAATGCAGTCTGCTCCATCTGAGAATGTGATTGCTTTTTCAAGTACTACATTACCAACAAATGGACATATTTTAAAAGATCAATGTGCCGATCAGCTAAATGAAAAGCTGCCATTAAAGAATATGAAGTGTAAATTCAACCGCAGGGCAAAATCTGGTCAGCGGTCTTATTTAGCACCTATGGCAAAACGAAGAAGATTAACTGCCTGTGAGTATCAACGAACTGGTCGCAATGCTTACTCCTTTTCAAAAGGCCATCAACTAATGGAGGAAGGAGCTCAGCTCAAGTTGGGTGCACAGGAAGCAAGTGGTAAAACTGTTGCAGGGCCTGACCCTTTTTGTGGGAAATTCTATCCCGACTTTCCAATTTATATTAGTCCAGATAAGGTAGACAAGTGCATATCCAAGGAACGATGTTGCAGTAGTACAGCTACTACATCTAAGGCAACTTCCTCTGATGGAATGCCTCAATCACGAACTTTGATCAATCTCAATTTAGTACCAAATGTTCCCCTAGATTATGAGACTGGTGAGCAATCTGACTCGGAGGTGGCGGACAGTCAGCATGATTTGAATTTGGAGGAAGCTGTAAAGTTGTCAGAAACGAAACAACAGCATGATGGTTCTGAGGCAATGGAGAACTTTACTGGAACACTTGGTGATCAAAAGCCTTCTGTCAACTCCAGGAGGCAAAGCACCAGGAACCGTCCTCCAACCACCAAAGCTTTAGAAGCTCTTGCATGTGGGTTTCTTGGGACGAAGCGGAAGGGAAGGGATACAAGGGCCCTACTGAAAGGTAATATTGCAAACAGGTCTTCTCGTCGTGTGCATAAGACTGCTGAAGCCCCAGCCCCAGCTCCCCCAGCTAATACTAATAGTTCTGAATTTGGACTTTCGAGTGCCACTAGTGATGACTGGTACACAGGCAATACTCACAATATAAGTATGTCAAGTGAGTCCTGTCTTCAGCCTGATGGTAAAGGGACACATGACTTGCTTGGGGTTCCTGTGCATGAGTACTTCCCTGTCTCAAATAAGAATCTCGATTGGCAGAACTAAGATATATTGCGAGTCCCAAGAGTTGGCGACTCGGCAATTTGTTCTTCACATGCTCTTACAATGTGAGCATCTGATGTCGGAACTCAGAACATAAATCGATTCGTGTCAAAGGGAGCCATTTTATACATGTACATTGATGAGGTTTCTGGTCATGTAGCTTTTTCTAGGAGATTATTTGTACCAATTTAGGGCAATCGATTACTCGAGAAAGATTCATTGGACGAGAGTAAGGGGATCCCCAAGGTGTCACATGTATGTCGACTTCGATTCATCCTATTGGACATGTAACAATCCGTATCATATTGTTTCATGTCACCAGTGGCTTAGTATACAAAAATGTGGAGCAGCAACAACCAGATATATGTGCGGCAACCGGAAGTTGTCAAATTCGACTTCCTGATGGTGTACTGAGACTAAGGGTTGTATATCTTTGATAAGTATGATATTTCTTCCAGTTATTGTCAGTAGAGGTGATGTCTTTTTTCCATCATTACTGGCCTTCCACCAATCACAGATTTGTTTACATGTTGCTGTCTGTATTAAAACTATAGAGTTACATATCTTTTATGGGCACAATAGTTCTTTTGGTGGGTATTAGATCATGATGGATCTTTTCATCACTCATTATCGGAGAATGGTTGTTCCTTTTTTTTTCTCTTTCATGACAATTCCTTTTCTGGTGGTCTTTATTGAAACTGCAGAATTGTAGATCTGTGATGGGCATAGTATTTCATTAGGTGGTTATTTGGTGTAAGAAGTCTCTTTCCAGCATCCATTGTCATAGGTGTCTTATCTGTCTCTCTTAATTATATGGATTTCATAGGTCTAACCATCTTTACATCAATAGGTCTAACCACCTTTACATCTGTCTCTTAAATATATGGAACCCATATTTTTCTTTATTATCAGTCTCTTGCACTCAGATGGAACTCCCAATCGAAGTTGTTGTACCATTGTACGTGCAATACATTTGTTCGTCTTGCGCGTTGATGATGAAATTATTTTATTTCTCCCTACTAATGTGTGAAAAAAATAATTTGCTTCTCCGATTCATTTTGGAGTCTTGAACTCCTGTTCTTTATTAGTTGTTTTTCTTGAATATTCCCAGATTTGTTGGATCGCTTGTTAAATCGAATATTGTAGAATTATCTAAATCCATAGATGACAAGGACATATTGGCCATTTTACCATCTTACGAAATAAATTTTAGAAGGTCAGATGCTCGTAGGTAAAACCCTCGGCTAATTATATATTAGCCTAATGTTGTTAGACCTCAATCTTTCGATCTTTAAACTTAAAAAATTTATAATTATGAAATTGAAACGTCTAAGTTCATTTACCCAACGATTATACTAACAAAAATATAAAAAATAATAAGTAAAAAGATAATTTCAATGTTTCATTTGGTGGTGCGAGACGACATTGGTGGTGACGGACTGTAGTGCCACTAGGAGCCATGAGTGGTTATTGTAGATAAGGAAAGCAAAGGCAAGATATGAGAACTGCTTTATATCTTTGTCGATGCTGATGCAATTGCCGAGTAACCCTTTCACCACTCTGCATCTATGTTAACATCGACACAATTATTAAGCAACGAAAGGATCGTCGATATAGATGTCGAGCGGTCCTTTCATCGCTCGACAACTGTGTCGATGCCAACACAAATATAGAGCAACAAAAAGGTCGTTCACTATGTCGATGCCAACATAGTTGTCGAGCGACGTCGCTCTATATCTACATTGGTGTTGACACAGTTGCCGAGCAGTGAAAGAGTTGCTCGGCATCTACATCGGCGATCCTCTTGTTGGTCGGCAACTACATTGACGTTGATACAAATGCAAAGCGCCAACATAGATGCAGAGTGGTGAAAGAGCCGCTCGGCATCTACGTCGGTGCTAATACAACTGTAGAGTGACCCCTTCGTCGCTCGACAACTGTGTCTACGTCGATGCAAATGCAGAGCGACGAAAGGGCTGCTCAGCAACTGCATAGATGTCGACGCAGATGCAAATCTATTCTCATCTCTTACTATCGCTCTCTTCATCCGCAATAGCCACCCGTGACCCCCAACGACGTTAAGACAAATGAATCCAAATATTTTTTTATAATTATAGTAATTCTAATATAAATTTTTTAAGTCTAAGAAACAGGATTAAGAATGTGTAACTATCCCGTAAAAGCCCACACCCAAAATTATAATATCCTACTTAGCTAGACAAATCCTTGGCCCTCAGTTTATCCATTTTTATTAGACTAATAAACCTATAGCCATCCTGCGGCGATATATATCATCAGTTGCATATTTAATATCCAAGCTAAATAAATTTCTGTTTACATGAACGTTGCCATAATTATTACTACTACTAAAATAATTAAAGAATAACTGTTCTTCCACGCTCAAATCACTGCCTCTTAATCGGGGGATCCACACGCTTGACATCTGCACCAATTAGATTAAGTTTTTTTTTTTTTGTTTTTGACAAATGCCAAATGATGAGGAAGAAAGAAGATATTTGTGATTCACTCCATATCATAAGTATTAGATACGTTAATGTTACCAGCCTACAAAATCATATCATGTGGAGGAGGGAATAATCTCACTTCATGCAGCATGACTTGTGACTCTCTTTCATTAATTAGCAATCGAAGGAGGAATGTTAAGTTTTCGTATCTCCATGGCGTCCGGGAATCAGAACTCGGGGGCCTGTGCGCAGTTCTATTCCATAACAAGCGAACAGAACAAAACTAATCATCATCTCCGCCGGCCGTGATCATGATCCCGCCACCTTTTATCACCACCACCGGACCAGTGGCGGTCCCGACTCACAGGAGCCTGCTGCCTTGACCATTCCGGCCTCTTATCCCACCCACTGTCCCTTCTCGACCCGTCGTTGTAGCTCCAGCCACCCTGCAACTCGGGGAACGTTGTTGCCGGACCGCCGGTGGGGCTCCGAGCCTCCAACTCAATCCCGTTCCTGTCCTCCCCTCTTCTACGGCCAGGAAGCAGATGGGACGATGGCGCAGGGCCGCTGGGGTGAGAACCGTAGCTGTTTTGGATCGGAAAACATCTATCTGGTGTTGTGTCCCGCCTCACAACCGCAGCGGCGGCACCAGGAGCAGGAGGCCATGCCGGAGCTCTTGAGGCCTCAAACTTGGGTAGGGGATGGGCTGCTTGAAGTGTGTGAGGCAAAGTAGGTAAGGAGGGAATACCCGAAATGGAAGAGGGGCCGTGATCGAACGAGCCATGTCGAGGCATCGAGGAGATGACTGCTGTGTTGGGCAAACCGAAGTCAGGAACCGGAGACTGTTGCATCGGATACATGGCGTATGGTGTCTGGGGAGGTAAAGCGGGGGCCGAACTGGAGACTGTGGGAAGAAGACTCGAGGATGGAAAGATTTGCCTTGCTGAATCAATTGCCGCTGTCACTTGTGGCATCGATAAGATCGATGGTGCCAAACCAGGAGCCGCAACCGGAGGAGCTGCTGCAGGCCTGTTGCCGGGAAGATGAGGCTGCAGCACCGGAGTCCTCGAAAACACCGGGAACTCTGATCTCCAGCGGCCCTGAAAACAAACGAAAAAACAATAGAATGAGATAACACGATAGATTGGCATCAGCAGTTTGCAGCGGAGGCCTCACTCTCGCAGCTTCCGACGGAGGAGTTGGGGACGGAAGAGAAGCCGGTGGTTCCTGCACCTGGGGAGTTGTTTCAGGATGACTCTTCCCCTCCGGCTGTGCTACCTCGTTCAACATACCAGTCAAGGCGACGCCGTTTCTCTTGAGCATATCGAGCAGCGCCACCATCTCCTCGCTGCTGAGGTTCTTCCCCTGGGTAGAAGTCAAAGCAAAGACGAGGTCTGGGTTCTTCAGCAGCACGGCGAGCAACTCGAGGTCCGGCTCTGGAGCCCCGTCACTGGTTGATGGAACAGAGGCGGTGGTGGTGACAGGAGCTGACACGGTCGCAGGGGCTTCATCAACCTGTTTAACAGGAGAGGAGGAAGGGCCTTCTTCAACATCAGCATCTGGCGGCTGCTCTGTGGGGATTTCTGGCGTCAAGCTGTCATCGAAGTCCATTTCCAGGTCCCATGGCTCCTTTGGATCGTGCGGGATGTCTTGGAGGCGAGAAGACAAGGTTTCCTTCTCTCGACGTGTTCTCTGTGTTTGGGCATCAACTTCCTTGCTGTTCTCCCCCGCGCCCACACTCCACTCTACATTCATCTGCATCACTGCAAGAACAAGATATGGCAAGCAAGAAACTTTTAGATACGAAATTTGCATTTGGATACTGTAGCCATATTGTGCAGAACTTTGTGCCAACATTCAAGCTTTAAGGTTATAGTTCTCCTGAACTTAAATCCATATCAAGATCAGGGATAAACTAAATTGAAGGGCTTTCAGAATAATTATCTAAAACCAGCCACACAAAAAGACAATGAATGGATTTCCCCATGACGCATGCACTGCAGCAGGATATGTTGCTATCAAAGAGCATCACAGACATCATCTACTGAGCTGCCAGAAGCTTTAGGAGTACACAAATATGTACAAAAAGAGAAGCATTTCCTTGGAATCAGAATGATATTGGCATGCAGCTTGATGATTAGAAGGGCATCATCCAGTTCCAAACCCTTCACCCAGACTACTATATGTCATAGTTCTCTCCATAATATTTGACATAGATTATCTGGAACCAAGCAGTAGTTCTCCAGTGTGGCTTCATCACAATGGCATAAATAGCAGTGTGTTCTGCTTTGAAGCATCTGGCAACAAGAGCAGAGTCGACAGAGAACAAAAACACAGCTGTTGCAAGTGTCTCAACAAAACATGTGCACAGTTGGTTATTTGTCTTTTATCTACAGAAAACTTAATCTGGAACAAAAATGTTACATCTTTGGTCATCATTCTCTGGGATGTCAACGGTCTCAAATTTTGTCCTGTGTTCAGTATGGCCAATTGGAATCAGAATAGAACATTCACCAATTAACATGATTCTTGCTAACCTGAACATTTACTGGTATAAGATAAACACAACTGCAGATAATTAGTATGGACTTCTCTGCCAATTTATCGTGAGATCAATAGCATTTTAATAGGTAAAATTTTGGTCTATTAGGAGCAGAAGATTTGGCAGCTGATACAAATACCAGTTGATGCAAGTATCAAATGTAAGTCAGTTTTCAATGATAAGGGACAATCCTTGGTGCCACAATAACAAAGGCCTTTTGTGATCCAGGTTTCCAGGGTTCATGTCATCCAAACAACCTATTTGCTTGCAAAGGTATGACCGCAAACAATGATCTCTGTGTTAGTAGGATCCTTGTATATTGCCCTTCTAATTCATTCTTAATAATCCCATGTTCAACATATTCATTTCAAGACCCAATAAATATGGACAATTAGCAATGCAACAAGTAACCACCATGAATAATGGTTGCATAAAGACCCCATCATCTCTCCGATTGCTTCTGTACCAATATATAACTCGCCTCAATAGCCAGTTTTGATTGAATCCCCTCTGGTACCTCTACATGGTGGTTCAGGAACCCGAATTTGTGTAAACATTGAGCAGCATTACATTGTGTCATTAACTAGTACTGCAGATTCCAATCAAGTTGTTTGACCTCAAGTATGGCAGGCACCAAAAGGTACGCTCCATCTACCACAGTGATACCATAAACATTGTTTGGGAAAATTCAATTCTCAATGTGTTTTTGGTAATTTAAAAAAAATTTAAAATAATACACTACACAAACAAGCACTTGAAACTCTACCACATGAAAAAAAAACACAGCTTTTCTTTTTTTTGCATTCTTTATGTTTATTATCAAAAACCAAGTAAATGCAATGAGAATGACAAAGCGATTGCAAATCCTATCAAAAGAAACAAAACTGCAAAGTCTAAGTTTCACAACCTTATCGTTCCTTCCAATGTAAATGTTCCTAATCATAGCAGCACAGAAAAGGAGATTTATTACATAGGTACCTGGTGGTATCTTCCATTGAATCAGCTTGCAATTTAGCATCCCTGAAGATACTTGCTTTGGAGTTGAATCTGGATTTGAATTGATCAAAGTCTCAGACTCATTGAGAAGATTGTCTGTTGTGGAAACTGTTATGCTATTTTCCTCTTTTATCAGTGGAGGATCTTGAGGTGATTTACACTCAGACATAATATTGTTGGTCTGAGAAGCAGAAGATGCCTTGAGATCTTCATTTTTCTGTGACTTACTTCCACTACTGGATGGATCTGCTTTTCCATACTTATGTTGCATAAACATTGCACGCAACTTTGCTTTCTGTATATCATCAGCAGACATTGGGCGGCTATGGTTTGAAGATACCATTCTTACGACCTGTGCACTTCTACCTCCAGCCTTATGATCAGGCTGTTCAACCAGTAGAACTTTTCTACGTTCTTTGAATTCTGTCAATTGATAAGGAAATTACATATTCAAGCTCCCAACAATTTCTTAACAAGAAAGATGCAGGGAGAGAAGCAGATTACATTATTAGTTATTTTCTGGCCAATTCTTAGTCCATTTTCTTAATTGTAAAAGGAAAAAGATCATAAAAGAAGTAGCATCTCAACACTTGATGCACATCCATATTCTACCTACTTAGCAAAGAGTGGCACTTGCACACAAGCCACATTTACGAATAACCACTACATGCTAGCATTGAATAAATCTTAAATGTGTTCATCTCTAGATAGGATACTACAAATTCAATACAAAAAGAATATTCTGGAGTAAAAAAGGTTATTCTGGAAGAGTATTCTGGAGCTAGTATGTAAGAATATTCACTACATACTACAAATTCAACCCTATTTGCATAACATGAAGAGTATTCTGGAATTCAAACTGACTTGATTATGCTTTATCTAGTTAACAGCAAGAAAAAAGGTAGATAATCTTTTGGTGCCCCCTTCCACATTCTTTTGTCATCCAAGATGCAGTCGCATTTTAAAATGAATAGCCAATAAAAGCCTTATGTGGTGAGGTTCATAGTGAAATAAATTCAGATTTGTTATAGGAGTAGAAATATAAAGGAAAATGAAGTATCAGTAATGAGGAAGTGGAATAAGAAAAATGAGTATTAAATTTAGTTGATGGATACTGGTCAATGAGACACTCCGGTCATGCTTTTTACTTGAGTCAGAAGATGCTGGAAGCAGCTTTAGTGTCTGTTTAGGGTCTGTTGTTCTGCATTAGAGAGAGAAATTTGTTAAGTAGTTTCTGCAAAGGTAAACTCACTAAAATCCTTAATACATAGAAAAAAAGACCTCAAAGCATGATAATCTGATAAACTGCAGCAAGAGAATACCTGGTTATTTCTGTACCTCCAGTTAGGGAAAGAATAAACTCCTAGCATTTAGAACAAAAATCAAGTCTTATTATTCTAAACAAATTTGTCATGATCTTTTTTATATAGAAATACTCACAGGAATGTCAACTTTGGACTGGCATAACTCGTCACCAAGAAAGCCACCCATCCTGTGGGACAAGAAACAGTGAAATCTAAGATGGCAAGAGAAAAAACTGGAATGGCACATCTCATAGTAGAAAGGAATACATGCCTCTTTTTATGAAGTGCCTCTATCTCTGCTGTATTGGAGGAACTAACAAGAGGTCTCTTTAAAGCCTGGCTTTTCTTGAATACTTTGCTCCATCGAGAAAGAAGGATCCTTGCCCTGTTTGATATGTCTGATCTCCAAATCAGATAAGTGAGTTCCAGTGAGCAATTATGAGAACCATAATAGAAGCAAAGAGCAGATATGTTCAACTTCTATAAAGAATAAATAGCAAAATCATTGGACGATCAGAAACAGAACATTTGCATTCGAAATGTGTACGCAAGGTTTACTTAAGTTTTGGCCAGTCAAGCAAGGTCCTATTTACTGTTAAAAAGTATGTTAATTACACAGTGAAATTATCAGTCGAAGTACCTGCTTCAGTCCTGCAATTGCAATTGCATATGTATGAGATGACAAATCAAATAGTTTGAACTGTGTAGAGGCATAAAAACTGATTTGATGGAAGAGATATGAAACAAAAATCTTAAAGTCCTTTTCAGTTTCAAATATACTTAATATTACAGAAAAGAGGCAGCACCTAATTGATCACTGCACTTATATATATCTAAGAAAAAGTAGTAGATGGCACAATTTCTTTTGAACCAATTCTGCTAACAGCAGAAAAGCACAAGATAGATGAAAGGAAGGATTGCAATGCTGATAGGCACACATTTTGTCATAGTCAAAACATACTCTCCCAGAAAGTATCAATACACACCATGCCAATCCATGCAAGATGTGCCAACATGTGGTTAGGCCAATTTATGGCATTTAGATGTGGCTAGGACATTTTTTTGGCATTATCCTGTGCTACAAAATAACAAACCTTGGGGGAAATACTTGTATATGGAGATTTGCAAGGAAATCTAGACAGGCCTACTATATCACAGCTGCAAGAGCACAAGATTTAAAAATCATTCTTTAGACAACAATACCAAGCTTGAAGGTGGAAAGGTGGCCAAATCTAGAAAAGGAAAGAAGCATCAAAAGACAAAAACTATCCTTCAAAGGCTCAACTAATACCTTAATTCTGCTGCAGGTGATAAAAAATTGAGACACAAAACAAAGATATATTCAAAAAGGATGATACCATGATAAAAAGATTGACACTAAACAAAGATATGTTCAAAATGGATGATACCATGTTCAAGTGTTAGAGAATTCATGATAACCGCCTAGTTTACCCTTTAAGAAGAGGAAGCATAGATATCCAACCAGTGAAAATAATATCTTGTTTATTCTTAAGCTTTTAGAGTAATTTCAATGTCCATATTGCCCAAATATTTACCAATTCAAACTAAAGAAAGACTGGGAAAAATATCCTAAAGCCAAGACACAACACTTAATATTGCTCAAAGTTTGACTGTCCTACTGCTACTCAACATGTACACACCTGACGTCCTATAAAATCGCAACCTGTTAACAGCTGGCACTATAGCAGACATGTGCACTGGCAAAGCTTTGTGTAGTGGCAGGTGATATAGAACCTGAACAAAAAATATCACTTTATTTCAATAACTCATAGGATAGCAGTTTTCATCAAATAGATAAATTAGGACCTTAAAAATGACAAGAAGCATGGTAGTTTGCTCTTCAGTAGCCGCTTGGCTCAACCATGTCGCCAAAATGCTGATGCCACCGTTATTTGAAAACCTAAGAACATGCAAAAGAGTTGACCCATTAAAATATAAAATTTATGACATCAGCTCAGGTTAAAAACAAACAACTCGAAATTACCAAATCAAAACTGCAGTGTTTTGAATGCAGAGAACCCATTCCAGCAACTTGACCTGCCCAGAAAATGTATCTTCCTTTCTCATCAAATTGAATATGTTGTCTAAAAACTCCTTATCATCAGAGTCAACACCAGGAACAGTTTTTTCCTGCGACAAGGATCGGCAGCCTTCTTCAACTTTCACAAGGCCGGTTGAGTTCGGAATGTCCTGCTGGTCAATTTTAACAGTACCAAGAGTTCCAGTGTTATCAGGAAACGGTTTAATCTCCCTAATAACAAGAGCATCAGCAGCATTTCCTGATGGCTCTTTGCTGATAGGCTTCAGCTGGTCTGAACTTGATGAATGTTCTTCATTGGATATTTTGGATGCTTCCAATCTAGTTGCTTTCTCACGTGACAAGCGAACAAGCTTTCTCACTCTTGAGCGCTGACCAGCAAAAAATTCTCTGACCTATAGGTTTTGATAGAGTAAATAATCAGTCCTTTATTCCAAATCAATTTATTTTTCATTCACAACTAACAGACGAAAATGGAAACCAAACAAAAAACTTGTCTTAGACACGCATACTATGATGCACGTCATACCAGAAATGGAGGTCAATGATGTGAGGTTTATTTGGTTGCTAAGCAGAATGTATAAACAATGCAGAAAAGAAGGGACGAAATTGAAAGGAAAATAAGAAAACCCAAGAATTTATTGTACTATGTTTGAAATAACTAGTGGCAAAAGATTCTTAATAGATGTGTCTTGAAATTTTTACCCAGCATCTTTCCAAGGCTTCAAGTGCACGTGACACATATACTGTTCAGATACCAGCATATATCTGTCATATATTCTTTCAAGCAATGCTCATCCGAGGATGTGGATTAATATTACAACTTGCCACCACAACATATGCACTGACTTGCATGGATAAGAGCAAGCACACAATTTTACCAGAATGGTTCAGTGCTTAAACCATTCTTTTTCCATCGAGCCTACACCTAGTATGAAGACTAATTATGCACTTCATGAAAATTTGCTCATTTAATTGCTAACAGCTTTTCAATTTTCTTTTAGATGGTAAACATCAAAGGAAAGAGTTTATAAGAAATGAAATTAACAAAGGATGTCTCTGAAAAATGAGAAGGAACTATATGGTATATTCTGAATATAGATTGTATAGCATCAGCCTAGCTGACTCAGCAATTCTAAACAAGCTACAAACTGATATGTTACTTAAAATGCCATAAAAGCATCTCCAATCTCTACATCATAAATTGCATACCACAAATCTACCTGATATCCTCGTCAAGCTAGCCACACTATCTAGATTAAGGGATTTAGAAATGGAAATAGAAAAAATCTCCCAGTCGAAAGGGAGTATTTTCTATGTCAAAAGATCCAAACCAAGTAATTCTAATGTTAAAAAGGCATTCCCAAAAGAAAGAGCCGAGTGTGAATTTCTTCATGCGATGTATTATGATACATTTACAGCATAAACTTCATCTACGATTTCTCAAAATTTTCTGCTAGGTAGGGGATGATAAAGGGGCAAAGATGTAGAACTAACTTGAATCAAAAAATAAATTTTGATTTTTGCAACGTATTATTTTTATCCACCCATCAAGAATCCTTCCTCTAAATCATTCTTTTTCACTCTACTTTGTCTCCTATCCCAATGCAACTCTTTCCCATCTCGAATAATAAGGTGGCCTTTCATACAGGTGATCTCATCAATTGAGTCATTGTAATGAGTTAATGACAGATACATAAGTGAAGCAATAAAACTGAAAGATCAGGTCATATGATATCACATAAAGCAAAAGACCTGCGACACTGTAACCCCACAAAGGGCACTGAGTTCACGAGTTTCTTTTTTCCCAATTGTATCCTTGATAGAGAAAACTGACTGCAGGTACTTGACTGCTTTAGGGTTCAACAAATCCCTTGGCCGTTTCCCTGTAAAACATTGCATGATATCAAACTTTGCAGTAGAAAGTTCACATTAATTCAGCATCAAAAACAGCTTGAAGCATCTCCTATCATGAACATGTGATTTCCCAGAAGCGGCACCACTTAATAAGAGAAATGATGCAATCAATAAGAGAGCTGCTGGCCAAGTTTTCTAATTGATGATACTGTCGTGTGGCTAGGATGCCAACCAATTTCCAGCAAAGCTGAACAGTGGTGGATATGCTTTTAAATTTCAAAGTCACTTCTGAATCAAATGCAAAGGTGCAAAAAAGCATACCACCGTTGAACTTAATAATATTCAGAGCATGGTAGGTTCACATCATCATTCATGTTACAACAACGAATTGAAATGTGAACCATTCTTTGCAAGCCAAATATGTATGGTGATGGGCCTGATGGCAATGCAGATCATGGCAGAAACATGGAGATACTTTTCCATGCACACAAAAGCTAGGGAATACTAGTTCTTCACACCTGATACAGATAGATGAGCAAATTTTGGTTCAATGCTTGTGTACTGGCTTCTCATCAATATGTGGCAGAATAGCTAAAAATGGCATCCCATGTAGTTTCTGAAGAAATTTAATGACAATTGAAGGCTCAAGTTGGATTTATTCTTGGTCCATATTAAACTTAGATTAAGTCATATAGATTTGTGGTCAAATTAATTGGCAAACAAAATCATGGGTAAGATTCTTGTAGTTACTAATTATTTGACAATCAATCCTAAGTGTTTTTTTTTTATCATCAGATTAGATACTCATTCAAATCTCTGTAGTTCTGGATGAATCTCTAAATTATACTACCAAATCAAAAACTCCTAAAAATATATTGCTATTATAAGTCAACAGCAATAAGCCCTGATATGGTATGAACAGAAACTAATTGATCACATTAGTTAGGAATGCAAGGTAAATTGAATTGTTTTACTTTTTTTTTTCTTTTGAAAGTCGATTTGCAATCTATAAATAATAAAGGATGCTGATCTGTTTTCCACTGGTAAGAAGGATGTGAACAATAAAAACACTGCTTTTCTGAATGACCAATTTGACATCAACATGTTCTCAATTTAATTTACATTCTTCCTACGTGAGAAATGTTTTCTTTCAATATCATCATGCTAATCTTTCATTTTTCACTTTGAACTAATTATTCATATTCTATTTGATGTAGAGATAGAGTAATGCATGCAACAAACTGAAGCATATTATGACACTTTTGTTAATCAATCATGCAACCCCTTCCATCATCTTTCCAGCTAATGATAGACCAACACAGAGGTGCACATTAACCTTGTTAGTAACATTAGACAATTCTGAAAAGATTTTAATGTAGGTATCCAACACATATCGTCAACTAACTACTAATTCTATATGATTAAAACTTGCTACCTGAATTTGGTTTCAGATGTGACATTGTAACTATATAACAAATTTCATTACATTGGTAGGTAGAACTAGAAGTTCAATCAGATAAAACAACTTAAACAAAGGAAAAAACTCATTCAAAAAGTTTATTGACTAGTTTACAATCAGATATCAAGAAATCCTGACAAAACCAAACCTCAAATTATGGCTGAAAGTTAGCACTTGTGGTAAATTTATGGATCAAAAGTATAAAAAAAATAGAAAAGTCTCTAAATTAATTGAAATTAATTTGAACTTGCAATAAACATAGTTGCAAAACGCAAGTCAACAACTCACCAATTCGTATTGATAATGCACCAGCAGCCTGCAAGCAAATCAAAATGCACTTTTACTATCTGCCGTCTAAAACAGAAGATATATAAAAAAAGACAGTCTAATGGATCTAAATTAGAATGAACTAACAAAGAGCGCAAAAGATAATTATTTGTGCTCAGTCTCAAAAAGAAAATTATCAACAATCCAATGAAAAGTAAGATCATGTCACAACAGCAATAAGCGCAAGACAACACATTGCTGCTTCCTACAATTTGAATGACAAGGAGATCCACCAAGAAATACTGTGATCAAATGTACAAATAAATAGAAGAAACAGCAATCAGAATGTTTACATTGTAAAGTAAATATAGTGCAAAATACACATTAGGCATTTTTTGGCTCCTGAAACTTGAATCATAAAGCTCCAACAAAAAAATTAAGATTAAAAAGATGTATGTAGTAGAACCAACAATTAGAATGTTCAGATACAAAAAATTAGAAGTCTGTCAATAGCAACAGATACATGTTTTCATGTCATTTTAGGAATAGTATAGGATTTTTGTTTTGATCCATCTTCCTATTGGTCAAGTCACAAATAGCCTTTTCCTTTTCATCTACATGCTCATATCAAGTCAATTAGAAAGAAACTTTGTTGCAGAAAGAATTTAACTAGATCAACAATTGAATCCAATTTTACAATTGCAGTACTTATTAATAGTTTACAGGCTTGGAACATCTTGTGGAGTTTGTAAGCACATATCAACTGAAGTTTTTGATCCAATTAAAATAAATAAAATTAGAAAAAATATATAGTTTTAATCACAGTTCTAAATACCATCCGGCCTGGTCCATATGGAACAATATTTACAAATTTGATGGCAAACCAGAAAACCTGGATCAGCCCCTCCCTCCTTCACTCCCTCACCTCACCTCCTGCATGACACCTGCTGCCTGCCCTCACCAACCTGCCCGCCAGTACTCCTTCCTTTCTTGCTCCTCCTCCTCCTCTTCTCCTGCTCCTCTCCTTGTCCAGCTTTCTCCGAAATGTCCCTCATGGTTGACCTTTTTATATTCCAGTCATCATCCATCCTAGACTGGATGAGTTGCTATTCTACTAAACAAGATAAGTTTAACTTTTACTAGAAAAATCTCCTCAATTGCTATCTCGTGTTTGGATATATTTTAATCAGTTTGTCATGCATTTGAGACAATCATGCTCTATAGTAAAATTTTATGTTGTACTTATTTAAACTGCTTCAGTTGAGTAACACCTTAATTAATGAGATTAAAATTAAACTATTAAGAAAGGTAAGCTATCCAACGAGCCACACAGAAGCTCCATCTTCAAGTTTGTGTTGACTTTTACATTCTTTTTTTTTCATTTAGAAGCAAATTACAAGGGCAAAAGAGAGTTGCTGCTTCCAGTTCACTACATTAGATCATAGTATCAATAGCTACAAGCTATAAAAATTTATTGTTTTAAAAAAGAAACAAACTTGGCATTTTGAGTTTCAACTGAGCTAGCTTCCTAGATTATCGTCAGTTATACAATCTTTGCTCTTCAGGGATCAATCAATTTGTATAATCACATTATGTTCACAAACTAAAAAGCCAAAAAAGAACATTCAGCTGAAAGCAGTTACAATTAAATTTCTTGCACTCATAAGAGGAAAAGAAAAAAGGAAATCGTAAAAGAACTCTAATAACAGCTAGGAGGCTTTAAAATCATTTTCTATCTAAGAAAAAATTACTTTAGATATTGATTTATTATTCTAACAAATATACTAGGCTATCTCTCATTCATAACATCCATCAAGCTGCTTCAAGACTTTGTTGCTCAACCAACCTCTTCTAAAGCTTCCAAAAACTATTTTAGTTCAAAAGTTGTATGTTTTCATGACAAAATTGGAATTCATCTTACATATTACAAACATAAGGTCGCACAGTTAATGATGTTCTCTTAAAAACTCTTTAGAAAAATTAAGAAAATGTGTTCCAACATATCTCAAAAACATTTCAAATATTAAAATTAATTAATCCTACATTCAAATTTTTCCATGAGCCTGAACTAAGGTCCCACCAGATACGAGTGCCCTCAAAAATGCATATAAAACAACTTGAGACCTAAAATCGCACAAACATGGCTAATCATCATACCTACAGGAAAAAAATAACACCTCTATTGCTAAAATGTGCAGGACCATTCAAATACTTGATCAGAGATGGCTAATCAAGACATCACAGGAACACCACATATTACACGCAGACAACATGAGAAATTTCGTAAAATAAAAGAGACCTTATTCCACAAATTAATCCATAACATATACAAATCGCTATTACTGTACCAATAGGTGAAGCCCTAATTATCAAATCAAACCATGTTACTTCAAACAATAATTATTTTCCGTTGATTTTAACTATTCACAACTTACTGACCCAGCAATGCCCTAAACGAAAGAAGAAACCGTACCATTTCTTGGGCGAGGGGGTTCACCCCGGTGAGCTTGCATTGGGCGACAACAAGCTGCTGAAGCTGATCGATCTGGGAATGGAAGAGCTCCCTCTGGGAGTCGACGAGCCGCGCCAAAGACTGCATCGAGTCGCCGACGTCCAATTCCACAAGCGCACCCGCCGACTCCGCCACGACAAGTGCCATATCCGATCTGTTCGGCGAGGACGGGCGGGAGGCCGCGCATTAGGGAAAGGAAGGGGAAGATGTAGGGAGCCCCAGATCAAATTCGATCTAATTGGATCGAACCAATTAGGGTTAGGATTAGGGAAACAAACGGGGTGATGGAAGACCGAAGAGGGGAAAAAAAGATGCAAGCGGCGAATGGCAACCTGCGATGTAAAAGAGGAAGCCAAATTACATATATATCCCTATAAAAAAAAGTGATTTACATATTTATTAATCCAAATAAGTCAGGGTAAATTTAAAAATAAAAATAAAAATATTAAATTATCATTTTTTTCCGTAATATCATCTTTTAGAAAATAATAAGTGCTCCAAAAAATAGAAACTCGAGACTTTTTTTTGGATAATTTACTAAGTAAATTATGTATATATTATGAGTTCCTCCAAAAATATATATATATTTAAAATAATATATTCATCTAAAATATTATATGATGATAACGATAAAGGATAAAATTATTTTTTCATGCAACAAAGGATAATCTGTAAGAATTTTTAAAATTTGAGATACTATATAAAAATTTCATAAAGATAGAAGCTTTTTCAATAATTCATCCTAAGATTTTTATCATTTTGTATTTTATTAGTATGCTTTGTTACTATATAAGGAGGAAAGTAATAACTTTGGAAAGCATTGTAAGAATTTTGCAATCCTACTATAATTGGACAATTTGTATTGTAAAATTTTAGTGTTTTATTGAGTATATAGGTTAGAAAATAAGGATAAGTGTGTAAAATATTATATTTTTTATGTATGTTTTTTTAGTTAAAAGATATTTTTGTCATATTCAATAATGTATAGGAGGTTGAGAAGTGGATTCAAACATGAGACCTATCACTTATGTAGCAATATATTAACAGAGATACGTTTTTATACAATTTAGAATTCGGAGAAGTTAGGTGTGAGAATTGTTTGATTTTATCAATTTTATAAATAATTAATTATCTATAATATGTCAAGTTCTTTTGTCATCCAACAAGATTATATATATAGTGCTTAAAATTTAAGTTTAGAATGGCTAATGTTAAAATATTTAATTCTTGCAGTGATGAGCCTTTCCTAAGTTAAACAAGATTAATAATTCGACATCTAATCTAACAGCATAAGTTTATAATATTGAACTCTAGATAAACCAAATGGTAAATATTCCAAGTTTTAATTATAATAAATACTCTTGCTTGGGCGATAATAATAATAACCATAATACTTGCTTAAAAAAAGGGATAACATAGTTTGAAGTTGAATCTATGGTAGAACTTATTATTAAAATCTTTGACCGGAGCTTGATGGACTAACTAACATATCAATTTCGTTTGGTCTAAATTACTGACCAAAATGTTTAATAGTATACTCATCAGATCCTTATAAGTTTATACTCCTAGGAGCATAGTTAGCTTATATCAAGCCTTTCACGTAATATATATATTTTTTCCAAAAAAAACCACTATGTACTTGATAGTTTATGGACTAAAAAAAAATAACTAGAGAGGTTGTGCTATGTGATTGATAAGGGTAAAAATGGCGATGTGACACGCCATGACGTCAGCCATGCCTGGACAGCACACTGCCCGAGGAAGTCGACATTAACACCTAACTCAGGGTTGGTTCTTCACGCCACGCCAACCCCTTGTCAGACGCTATCAGCCTGCATCCTGCAAGCAGCCACATCAGGTAACATCAAACTCATCTATAAATACCCCAGAGCTCTAAACGAAAGGGGGGAGACTCCAAAACACTTCTTCTCTTGAAACCCCCTCCACATCTTCCATTATCATCTGACTTGATCGTCGGAGGGGTCGGGTCGAGCACCCCGACCCGACCTGTGTGCAGGTGCGAGACGGTGTCGCCTCTTCCCGGTGCTGCGGCGGAGCTGCCTCCCGACCCGACCCGAACCGCCGACCCGACCTGCCGGCCCGACCACCCGACCCGACCTCCCGACCCGAACCACCGTGCTCGGCCTACGGGAGACCCCGAGGGACGGAGCCCGAGATCCCCGACATCCGGACCCCTGAACCGAGCTGCGACGGCCCCGAGGCCACGACTTAAACAGATGCCCCCCGCATCAGTGATAATGTTGGTTAGCGCATTAAATTTAGTGAAGGCTTATCACATGGTTTTATTTATTTGGAATATATGAACTCTAAAAAGTACCTTTTAAGGGTAAGGGAGACATGACAGACTTATGAGCCCTTAGTTCTTATACTCCTCAATCAATGTGAGACTAAATGACCTTATCAAAATTAATATAATTTTATTAAATACAATTATTCAATTAATCAAATATATTTTTACTTTTCATAACCCATCAATTATTAATTATTGGTCAAGACATACAAAAGATGATATCGGACAAAATTTAAATCCTAAAAATATTAAATTGATCGAAAAGATGATAAAAAAAAAAGCTTCTACTACCTATGAAAGAAGGGGATAAAAAAAAAAAGAAGAAGAAAGAATTTGAAAAATGATAAAAATATTAAAAGAATGATAAAGAAGCTTAGAATTCATAGTTCTTTTGACCATTGACAATCATTTATCATTGATAATTATTTTAAAATAATAAAAATATTTTTTGTATTATTTTTAATTATAGTGTTATCGATCTTTTTTTTTCTTCCTCGTAACTCTTTATTTTATTCTCATCATTGGCATCACTCAATATCTCCTCATCGATACTCGTGTAATGATCCCTTAACACTCGTCATAAGTATAATCAAAATCGATATCATTTATTATTTATTTTATTTATCGCTCATTGCTATTTGTCACCCCTCCATTAAAAAGAAAGAATAAAAGGAGATAATTTATAAATATTAAAAACAGTATACTTGCAAATGATAATTTATATATATTAAAATTTTAAAAAATAAATAAATAATAAATAGTAATGTAAAATGTTCCCATTTGAAATATCCCCTTTAGATCCTAAATGAGTCCAAAGACATGAGTTCACTTCATAAACTAACCAATATAAAGGATACAAAGGTTGAAAGCATCCACGACGGGCTCTTTAATTTTCATTTATGGACGCTGTCCCGTAAAATCCCAAATCCTGAAAGCAATTTATATAACCCTAAATCATTCCACTACATTCTTGTTCGAAACCAGAGCGAGCGGCGAAAACCTCGATCTCCATGGCCACCGTTCGCTTCCTCCGCATCCGCGCCGCCCGCGTCCCTTCCTCGTCCCCCCCGCTGCCTCCGCTCCTCGCTCGATTCTCGCGAACGCATTCCACCACCACCGACGCCGCTCCCGACGCTGCCTCGCCGCCTCCCGTGCCCCATCGCCGCTACCCACCCCCTCGGCCGCACGAGTTCTCTAAGCCGTGCGAGCTCATCGGGACCTGGACTCCAGGCGCCAACCCTCGGGAGGCGGCGGCGAGGCTTGATCGGCTGCATCGGGACTACAGGAAGCAGATGAAGCAGGTCCGAGCCAAGTACGCGTACGAGATGGAGCTGCTGAGGATCGAGAACCAGCGCAAGGATGACGCCCGGCGTGAGGCTGCTCGCCTTGCCAACGTGGAGCGGAAGAAGGCGAAGGCTGCTGCAGCCGAGACCCGCGCTGCGGAACGGAAAGCCTTCAAGGAGGAGCTTCGCCTAACCCTAGTATGTAGCCTTCTTCTGTTGATATTTCTGATTCTTTTTATTATCCGAGACTTGGATTGGATGATCTTATAGTATGTGTTATCATGTCGAACAAGTCATGTCCTCAACCAGATCGAGAGTTTCTTCATGAATTTGAGTTGCTAATATAATGCTCGTTACATAGACTGGAGTGCGGGAATTGGCACTGATATGTGATTACTGTCATTTTAAGAATATATGATACATGATCGTTGCTACCTTTGGATGTTTCCTTAAGATTGAACTTTTTGTTTTCTCAGACGTACAATTTCTGGGAGACATCAAAGCAAATATTCAGATAAATTTGTTATAGCCAATAATGAAAGCCATATTCAGAAATCAAAGCCGTTAGCCCATTGGAACTGAGTTATGCGCCATCTAGGGATTATTTTTTATGGAAAATAGCTGACTTTTTAATCTATCTGAAGTCCTCTCGTTGCCCTGTTTTTTAATTTTATTTTGTCTTCGTTAAAGACTCTTTGGAAGTTAGTGGGAGTGTTGCATGAAAATAATAGAAGTAACAGTACATGTAGCCATCTTTTTAGTTTCAAAATAACCCATAGTTAACGTGACTTTTTATTTCTTATAGCCAGAGATGTAACTCAATTGATTCACCAATATCAAATATCAAACTGCCTCATACCAGAGACTCATGGCATTGTTGGGGATCATCCAAACTATTGTTGAGTGGGTTCGCTACTGGATGGATGTCAAACTTATATATTATTGATTTAAGTTTTGTTGGTATACTTAGTTGCACTGAAGTAGTAGGTTGTTTCAGGCTCAATTTTGGAGCCCTGTGTTGTATATATTGATTCAATTGAGGTGCAGCTAATGTGTGTATGTGTGTTTCATGGCCTTTCTCATAAGGCGCTACTCCTAACTGGTTTACCTCCATAATGTTACATTTTTTATTATTTTCATTATTATTTTGAAAATAGAGAATGCAAAATTTCCATTTATATTTAATTTTAAAGGGTTAAAAGTTTTGGTTGTTAAGAAAAGTAAAAAACATAAAATTAGTAGATGAGCACATTTTGTGAAGAAGAGAAATGAATAAGATCTTTCAAAAACTATGACATGCTGCGTTATGTAGAAGATATGTTCATCAAGAGCTTGAAGTTGGCCGATTATATGAAAACTTTGGAGGAATCTTTGACATTAGGCATGATGAATCATTAGGTGTGAACATTAGGATCTAGCACATTGACTATCAAAACTTGATCTTCACATTGAAGGATCTAATAAATGGGGATTTATATTTTTATGCAACTTGAAATGATGAATCTAGGCTTTGTTTCTTGTACAGTTAAATATTTGTAACTAAGCTTGCGAACAACTTGCTATTTATGACAAAACTTGGACTTTGTGGTTTCTTTTCACAAAAAGATGTCTTTGTATAAACTAGGTGACTCAAACCAACTAAAATAGAATGGATGGCAATAGTCAGATCATTTTAATGGTTAATTTTTGGGAAATGTTGCTATTGTTATAGCAATGACTATTTAGAAGCCTTTTTATGGCCATTAAAATGCATGCTCAATGCACATATGATAATGAAAACAAAACTAGAATAGAATATTTTCATCTCAAAATCTAATAGATAATTATTTCTCTAAGTCTGGTTGCAACTTGTTCGAGTTGCACCCCCCACACATCTTGGTTTGGGTTTTCCAATTAGACCTGTTTTTATTGCATCAAGCCCATCCACATAACAAAACACTGTCTACTTTTGTTTTGAAACGACACTGAGCAAATGATAAGCTCAAACTCTATTTCCACCATTTGCCTCCTCTTTTTATGCAACCAACTTTTGTCATCCTCACCCTCACCACAATTGTCGTTTCTCACCCAAAACCTACAATTCCAGTTGTACCATTTTGCCCAATGCTGATAGACCAACTTCTGCAGCCTATTGCCACTTTTTTGTCTTGATCATATGAGTTCTCCAGACCATGTGGGTTCGTCAAGAGCTATTGCTTGACCAACCTTGGAAGGTGAATATGAGGCTCAAACAGCTCCAAGTAGCGAATGAAGTAGATATTTCACCTAGTCCATGTATGTGATGGAGCTGTTAAGGATTGAGCAGCAGTGGAAGGATGTCACTTGGAACAAGGCTGCTTGCTTCACCAGCAAAGAGCAGTAGGGAAGGCCATTTTCACTGAGCAAGAAGGCCTTCTAGGACATACATCCTTCTTTTCATATTTGCTACCTATTTTTCCCATAAAATTTCAGTTCTCTACGTTTGTTAGTTTGAGCGATATTATAATATTACTGTTACTTTCTTGAACAAGTCATTTTTCAGATTTTCTTCCTCAATTTGAATTTCTATTATAAGTAATTGTTAATTTTCGTCTCTTTGTTTTCATTTACATTGGCCATTGCACAAATATTGCCAGGACACAAGTAATAATAGATATCCTTTAAGAAGTATAAGATTGTCACTATTAAGAATTAGGATGCTTTAGAAGCAAATAGTGATGCCCCATATTGGGAGTAAATGGTGGATTTTCTTGATATGAGAGTTTTGGGCTTACTACTAAGGTTTAAATCTCGGTCTTATACTGGCTTCGGTAATTCTCCCGGAACAATAGACGGTGTAACAAGCTGCATACCGAGCTGTACCTCTTGGTTTCAATAGAAAAGAAACCTATAGGTACTAGACCATAGATACCGGTCGGACTGGTAAATTTGTATTGTTTTTAGAATTATTCTTACTACTAGTAATTCGAACAAGAGCATTTTAGGTCACATGGTTTATAACACCTTACAAGTTACTAGGCTAGTCCACCTGTTAGTTCAACTCATGGCACACATTAAACTTTATATTGAACATGGGCATCAACCAGACCATGTTGTAGCCAATGTGGGAGTGAAAGACCATAAGTTTTCATGTATGTGCCTTATCTCAATGATATGTGCACCTTTGTCCTAGATTTCAATAGACCTTGATGCCGCACTGCACCTCGAGCTTCCAGGGAGCTTTTGTTGAATGGTTATCTCACAAATGTTTGTTGAAGTTATTTTTGTTCTCTTTTCTTAATGTTGCCATAGTTGTTGGAGCTTTGTTCACTAAACCTGGTATTATGTTCATTATGAGGCTGGAAACATTTCACGGAGATACTTTTGCACATACAATTACTCTGGCCTAGCACATAGAATCACCTTTGTGCTTTTCACAGCGAGCCACCTAATATGCATGGATATATATTTATATTAATCAATGTACATGAAACTTTTTATCTTTATTTTTAGCAATTGACATGGCACCTTGCTTTGTTGTTGCTTTTTGATGACCATGCTACACTGTTTACAGTTGAAAGAAAGAACTCAGAAATTGGAAAGTTGGAGGGCAAAAGAGAATCTGAGGGAAGAAAAGGAAGCCGAGAAAAAAGAGCTTTTACGTCGCCAGAGTTCCGTGTGGATTAAGGATGAAAACTTTGAGAGAAGAATGCTGGAGGCAATAGTTGATACCACACCCCTCTAGTCAAATCTGATCTTCGTGAGATTAAAGGTTTGTCCCCTTTCCAACTTCATTTTGATGCTTTGGATGCTGCTTAGTCCAATAATATAATGGAACTGCTATTCAAAAAAGAGTGTAGACTGGATTCAATACCATCAAATGAAGATCTTATTTTGTTGATCTAGTGTAAAATCTTCTGTTGTCTCTGCAAAATGGAGGGAGTTCCAGTTAAGTTTAGGTACTTTTTTTATGAAAATTTGCATGATTGCTAATTGTACTATTTACTATCTTATCATTATAAACATAACTCTTTTTTTTTTTTTTTACCATTTTGATGATTTCGTGGACATAAATACTCCTAGCTGGTGTCAATTATTACATTATTAATTTTTTGTGATAAAATAGTGACTATCTTAGTAGTGATTTAAGTTTCACCCAGAAATCTTTACATTAAACTTTGCTGCAGAGTATATTGGAGAATAGGTAATGTGATATGTGTTACTTCTTGTCGCATTATTTGTGCATTTGCCAATTGTCATGGATTTCAAATCTTGCTAGCCCTAAATGCTCCCCTACCACTTGGTTGGAGGGTAGAAAGACGAGATCTCAGCCTCGTCGGTGAAAGTATATTGCACATACATAAAGTAAAAGCCAAGGATAATAGTTTCACGCCCCATTGGTATCTTTTGGCTTTTAAATTAGCTTTGCACATTTGATCACGAGTTTGACAAATTGTTATAACAAATGTAGCAAATAACAATTATTTACTATGTTCGTTTTTTCTATGCAACATTGATATTGGTAGAAATGATATAGTAAAATCATCCAATCATTGTATGCAATTGATGTGCAATTATGTACCATAATAAAATTTTTGGCTTCAAGATGTCACTTACTCATATTCTTTCTAGTCACTTTATAGCAGGTGTGTTACATAAATCTTTTGTCATTATTAAGATCTGAGAGATATCCTTAGTTAAGGATATTTAAATTTTATTTATAATTTTTATTAAGATTTTTTTAAAAAAAATTCTTTGTCTCTCATCATACTACTAATGGTTATTATGTTACCTCTTTTAATTGTTGCATGCATTTATAATTTCTATTAAAATCTTTTTAGGTCTTTTAAATATATATATTTATGTC